AAATGGAAAACAAATTCAATCTTCCACAAATGTCTTGTTTGATGGACAATATTTTCTTGGCATTTGATTTTTTTGCTTAGTGCTTACACGGTGGGTTTTCTTGGCAATTGAGGAAAATAATTTGGTGGGAAATGACTTTCCAGGTTTTATTTTTTATTTTTACTTTTTACTTTTAATTTTTTTGGCAATGGAAACAAATTTCATGAACAACTGTGAATATTTTTTCCTTTAATGGATAATTTTCATAAAAAAACAAAGCTAAACGAACACCAAAAGATCCAAAATTTGAACATTTTTCAGGTGAAAAATTATACCAATCAAACACAATTAATTGACAATTCCCAGGAAAATAATTTTAGGCAATTCAATTTTCTAAAATTCATTTTCTTTCTACCTAACGATGTCAACGAGCCAGCCAAGCCGAGCCCGACCAAAAAAAATGAGGCTCAACTCGAGCCTTAGCGGGCTGAGCCGAGACGGCTCGAATTTTTTGGTGTTTTTTTTCTTTCTTAGCTGTCTGCAAGCTACCCAAAAAAAATTTTATTAATAGGAGGCTAGCCCGGGCCACGGCCCCGCCCGAGCCATCGAGCCCGGCTCAGGCTTTTTCTTAGCCGAGCCGAGCCCAAGCCGTCCGAGCTTTTTTGCCACCGCTATTTCTACTCAAAATCCACTCTTGCAATCAAACAGACCATAAAATTTTGATGTGTCGTGATTTAAGTAGGTGGTGACTCCTCTAATTGCCTCAGAGAGGAGATGAGACAATTTGCACCGAGTTATGTTGTTCCAAATGTTGTTGTTGACTAGGTGTTTGAGCAGTACATTAAATGCCTTGAAAATAAAGGTGGATGAGGTGATGATACGTACCTCATCGCCTCATACATGAACATGGGAGACATGGCACTCACCTCGAGAAGGAGTACTTGTAGGGCGTTTTACTTGGATGAAACTCGTGTGATTTACCACGTATGTTTAGTGCGGATTAAAAATCATATTTTTAGTAAATTTTAAATGAAGTTAATGAAATGACGGATCCATAAAATATGTAGTTAAAATTAATTGTTAATTTTGATTTAGATTAAAATCTATATTTGAATTGGTATCAAACATGGCTTAATAAATATTTATGCTAAAAGACCAATTTCATTTTGACTAAATTTTGATTAGATAGAAGAATTTCCCTATTCCATTTAAGACAAAATGGCAAGTCACTAGAGATTTTTTAGCAACCTTAATCTACCACTGTAATTTACGGTTTGTGTGTTAAAAATGTTAAATTTCACAATAAAATAGTGAATATATCTTTATGGATATGCCCCTACTTGGCTCCAATTTTTGATTTTTTTTTCTCAAATTCATTTTAATCAAACATTTTATGGATTTATAATTTTTTAATCGCACGTATTTATCAATTTTTGTCGAAATCTATTAAAAAATTATTTTTATTTAAGCCAAACATGGGTATGTTTCACTTCTCAACCTAGAAAGGGAAATTATTGAAAATACCCAAAATTCAACCATACCNGAAATTATTGAAAATACCCAAAATTCAACCATACCCTTTCCAAAATAGCCTTTGACTTTTCCAAACTTTGAAACTACCTAAAATACCCCTAAAGATAGTAATTACATCCAAGCAACCCAAAATAAGAGAAAATATACAATCAAGTCCTAGATTTTAAGATGACTAATAAAAATTATAAAAAGACCTAGAACTAAAATAGGACCATACAAGATTAAGAAA